TTGAATCTGATACTATGAATATTATGATGTGTCCCTTCATACTTCCCACATGTGTTGTGTAAAACCCTGCTTACATGTTGAGTTACTTCAATTAATTCAGTAGTTTAATCAGGACTCAGTAATTTCAAGGATCCTTACAGGAAATATTATAGACTAACGCTTAGCCCCCTCAATATATATAATTTTGACTGTAACAAATAAACCCCATTTAAATTGAAAAGGAGCCCCAGTGAGTTGGGAGTTTAACTCACCTGAAATCTAGACTCGCTTCCTTTAGGGCTTTAGCATTGCAGGGAGGGCTAGGCATTAGGAAAACTAATGTGGTTCAGGGACTGTGAGACAGACTAGGTATATGAGGGCGATGTAAGATTGAAATAGTGTAGTCTACTGCAATTATATTTATTACAGGAAGTTAGTATTTTGTTGAGAATTTGGTGCAATGAATATTATGGTGTTTTCCACGTCACACAATATATTTTTTTTCTGCGTTATTTCTATACATTTGTGCATAATGCCCGCACATTCCTGTGTCACATGAAACCCTGTGTAAGTGTGGGATATTATCTTAGGTTATATCATGTCTACATATCGGATACAGCTTGTATCACAGGTCTTTGTCCATTGTTTGTCCATCCAAGTTCAACTCAACAGTTTTGGTCACAGCTCCTGCACATAACCCCTGAACATGTTCTACATAGCCTGATGAAATCCAAGCATTCTTTTGTGTAAGGACATTTGTACCTATCCCTTTGCAGTATCACATAGCTGAGATCTGTTTTTGCAAGCTGAACCTAAACAACAAATGTTAAAATTGAAATTTACCTAAAAAGTGTCTGGTGTAGTTGTGTGGAACACGTTTCAGCTCAAATAGGTGCATCTGATAATACATGTTTCCTGTGAAGCATGTTGTCATGAAAAGCTATTCAGTGATGTAAGCCATTGAAACCGGCGTTCCTTTATCATGTATCTATACATGCATTCTGTGGTTATGCTGAACGATTGCCTTCATGCTATGCACATTAATCATTTTGCTGAAGCTTTCATGTCTATGATTTCATATATAAGTGTACAATGTTTGTATTGTGTTGGTAGAATGCAGACTGGCTGGTTTTGGCATTTTGCCATGTTAAATATCTAAGTTGTCTAGTAATATTTAATGCAAATTTGGTACCGTATTCAACCCTTAAGAGGTATCTGAAGTTTGAAAGTTTGTGACAGTTTGATTTCTTCGATGGTGTCTTTGGGTTGGGTAGCCAAGTGGTTAAAGTGTTCGCTCGTCACGCCGAAGGCCTGGATTCTTTTTCCCGCTTGGACCCAATGTGTGAAGCCCATTTCTGTTGTCTCCCGCTGTGATATTGCTAAAAAGCGGCATAAAACTAATCTCCCTCGCTCGCTCACTGAAAGTTTGATTCCTTGATGTTGTCCTGAGTTGGTTAGAATAAGTAATTTATGATGGTCATGAAATTCAACCAGATAGATCAAGTGTTCCTGCCTGGCTGGTAGTGTGTCTCCACAGTTATTGCTCACGGTATTGATCACTGGATTGTCAGGTCCAGACTGAATTTATTTACAGGATGCAATCGTATAGCTGGAATATTGCTGAAGGTGACCATAAACACCAAATCTATCGTGGAATAATCGTAAGATAAACACAATCGAATGCGTTTACGTGCTGTTCCCAAACATTGTATGGATTGAGTATTTCATGTCGAAGACTCGATTTGTTTACAAACAGCATTGTACAGCACTCAGCAATAATCCAGCTGTATGGTGACGGTCTGTAAATAATTCTGTCTGGATCAGCATCGATCTATGCAGTAGGAATACCATGACACATGTCAACCAAGTCAGCGACCCTGACCACCCGATCAGGTTATTCGGCTCTTAAAACAAGCATGGGTTACTGACGACCAATTCTAACCCGGATCTTCATGATTTGCTTATGAGGAGGGTGTACTAGAACTACACAGCAGTGACAGAGTGCTTGTCATCACCAAGGTTTGATGTGGCGTGTAACATGAAACCCACCATGACAGGACTCATAACCCTGATGCTCCTGTACAGACTGTAACATCATTTTACAGGAAGCATCAATTAATGTAATCAGGGGTTTGAAAACTAAGGAAGAAGATTTTTTATGCATGTCAAATTCTTTATTACGGGGAACACAACATTTAGGAGTATATCGGGGCGGTGGGGTAGTCTAGTGGTTAAAGCGTTGGCTCGTCACGCCGAAGACCCGGGTTCGAATCCCCACATGGGTACAGTGAGTGAAGCCCATTTCTGGTGTCCCCTGCCATGATATTGCTGGAATATTGCTAAAAGCGGCGTAACACCAAACTCAGTCAGTCAGTCGGAGTATATCCGTACAACTCCATCATGTTCATTCGCCTGATGCGTACTACTTCTAAATGCCATTCAAAGACCTGGTTTGAAAAGTACTATTCTTGTAGTAATTACTAAGTTTATTTTGATGTTCATTGGTGTTATACCTTGTGATATCTAAAAGTTTAAGTTTGGCATTTTTCTTTAGGTTTGACATTTTTCTCTTGTGTATTATGGGCTTTTGGTTCATGGCATGACCTATAAATATAGTAGTAATCTCCCAAAGCGGAAACCTTGCGTTTTTAGGGTCCATATATTTGAGTATACTCAACAGAAGAAAATGAGGACCATCTTTAACACCTTAATGTTCATAACATCATCCAGCTTTTGTAGTAGGTGGGTTCCTATTAGGTTGAGTGCGGTGTATGATTTCAGCCTTGAATGTATGTTTCCATGTACATTATGTCAGGTGTGTTGTCAGGTGTATTGTACAGTTTGTATTTGGGGTGTTGTTTCGTCTTTTTAGGTTGTCACAGATGTTTAGTAAAACGACAAATGTGGGTCTCGCGTGACACATATCACATAGATGAACAAGGAAGTCACCATTTATGTGTGCTTGTTATATAAACTGTTAGGTTCCTGGTCAGCCTTATCAAAAGAGAGGGGACACATGCTTGCTATTAGTCCGTCATACAAGTCTAGAATGTGGCAAGTCTAGATTACCACAGTTTCAGTCTGAAAATGAAGAAAGTCTCTGGGTTTCTTATCGTTATATTTTGCTATTATGATTTAGGAACCTTTTTTCTATTAAATATGTTGAATTCTGAGTCAACATGTTTGTCTATGTAAGATTCTTAGGAATATTTAGCAAAATGTGAGGTTAACTGTTTGTTCCCTAGTCTCCCATACTTGTCTTTTAGGGTTGACTCTAACAATGGACCAGATCCTCGATGGTTGTCTTCCCGTTAGGTATTTCAGGACAGGAAGGTCATCAGTACTCTGTGATTGTCTCCCTGCCTTCATTCCAGGGCCGTGGGGTGGTGGGGTTGATTCCAGGGCTGCGGGGTGGTGAGGTTGATTCCAGGGCCGCGTGGTGGTGGGGTTGATTCCAGGGCCTCGGGGTGGTGGGTTAGCCTAGTGGTTAAAACGTTCGATCGTCACGCCGAAGACCCGGGTTCGATTCCCCACATGGGTACAATGTGTAAAGCCCATTTCTGGTGTACCCTGCAGTGATATTGTTGGAATATTGCTAAAAGCGGCGTAAAACCATACTCACTCACTCACTCTCAGGGCTGTATTTCACAAATCGATCATAGCATGACTATCGTATCTCCTATTCTTTAACATAGCGTCAACAGTTGTAGCACCAAGATTGCTTTGTTAAAAGGGGCCCTGGCCCCGATTTCTCGAAACAAACTTAAGTCTGAGTTTTGACTTAAGTTAGAGTTTTTACTCAAATTTGAGAAAATGCAGGAGAATGCATTTCCCAGAATAAACTGAAATCCATATTAAACTCAAACATAGTAAACAATTTGAGTTTGGTGGATAGATTACTGAAGTTCTTTGGGCTTTTTTATTATAAAAATGCAGTTGAGTTAAAAATTTAGCTGTTTCAAATTGTCAAACTCAGTTCGAAATTTGAGTAAAAACTTAAGTTTGTTTCGAGAAATGGGAGCCTGGACAGACTAGATCATTTGTACCCTCTTTGTTTGGAGATTCCAGTTGCTGTGCCACACTTTCATCCCAGATGCTCTCATGCCTCGACTGAAATATTGGTTAAGAAGACTTTGATCTCTACCCACTCACTCACTCACTCTAAGTCCCTGGCGGTGTTGTCATGCCCACAACACCTCTAGGTCAGGATTACCATCACTAAAGAATTGCTGCCATTGGATTGTATCCTATCAACCCAGCTCAATGTGAAGGAAGCTGAAGCAGTGCCTAATAATCTCGATTGAAGCGTTTGGTTGTTAAGACATCCTGAGAAATATTAGGTCCTCCTGATTTAATGGCTTCTGTATTTCCTGTAAGGGAACATTCCCTGCCATATTATTCAGTGTGGGACGCATTTAAATTCTAATTCAAACCCTCGGCATGTTCAGTCACAAGTCAAGTTTAACATACATGGCCATTAAGTTTCACCTCTCAGAGTAAGGGCAGATCTTTTTGTGTGCTAACACTGCAGTAGAACAGCTGATAGTTATCTGCGTCGCAGGTGTGCCTGGGAAATGTTGGTCTTTTCTTAGTTAGGCAAGCTGGTAGGGACTTATGCTTAGCTACTGAATAGGGACTGGTTGCAGGATATTGGCTTTAATGACCCCGTTTGATACAGACTCGTATAAAATTGCATGTATATTTCACTTGTGTTGATTGGTAGATGCAGGCTCTGTGCCTTTTTTTGGCAAACATGTCGTCTTTTATGCTGAGAATAACACTATTGAAATAATAATAAGTTAGTTCCAAGAACCCTTGAGTATTTTACAGATCAAGATACAGATATTGTTTTGAATAGTTGCCCTTTCATTAAACAGATACCCACTCTTTTGATTCAGAATAGTATCTATCACCATGACAAATCATAGTGATGAGATGAAATCATCTTGCATTGAAGTAGTGCAGTAGCAGCAGTATGTAGTTGTTTCACAGAAATAACAACTTCGTTTCTTTATATTCAGAACCCGAGCAAGCCCCTCCATCCTACACCGAGGTTCGTGATGAAGAACCTGTTACAGAAGTCGTTACAAACACAGAGACGTCCTTCACCACGAGTACAAGCGGCAGCAGCAGTGAGTTCATATCCCGCCTCTGCCATATCAAGAAACGAGCCGATTTCAATGGATACGGTTTCAATCTTCATGCGGAAAGAGACAAACCAGGACAGTTTATCGGTAAGATTGACGAAGATTCGCCAGCCGAAAGAGCAGATCTTCGTGAAGGCGATAGGATAGTGGCTGTGAATGGAACAAACATTGAAAGCGAAACTCACCAGCGAGTGATTGAGCTGGTGAAGAGCGGAGGTGACGAGACGACACTGCTGGTGGTGGACAAGGCATCGGATGAGTACTTCAAGAGCAGCGGAATTACTGTCAGCCAGGATATGTCTGAAGTGAGAAGGGTCTCCAGCGTGCCAGGTAATATAAGCCTTCACTGGAATCAGTGTTATTATTAGCCATGTAAATTTGTGCATTTTTCATGTGTTTTCATACCAACTACAACCTATCTGAGACCCAACCGCGAGAAATATAGCTGTGACACCTGAAATACTCCCTGATCCATCAGTGGCCATTGCTCTAATACGTCCAGTAGACCAATACAAAACAGTGGCAGTTTGTGTTATATGTACAGTATTCCCTGACCCAGTAGATACAACTGGAGTGATATGAACAATATTCCTTGGGCCAACAGGGGCAATTAGTGTGATACATACAATACTCCCTGACCCAACAGAGGCAATTAGTGTGATATGTGCAATACTCCCTGACCCAACAGAGGCAATTAGTGTGATATGTGCAATACTCCCTGACCCAACAGAGGCAATTAATGTGATATGTGCAATACTCCCTGACCCAACAGATGCAATTAGTGTGATATGTGCAATACTCCCTGACCCAACAGAGGCAATTAGTGTGATATGTGCAATACTCCCTGACCCAACAGCAGCCATTACTGTGATACGTACAACATACTGATTTTACAGTGTAACATTATTACGGAAACTATGGGAAGACCATGGTTTAACAATTCTGTTAGGTCATGGTGTTTTGTAGAAGATGATATACTGAGGGGAGATAGGGCAGGAGGGGATCATCTTTAGGACTGAAGGTAGACTTTGGTAACATCTCACATTCATGGTTTCTGTGCACAGAGTGTATGCATCCTAATTTACAAAATTGTTTGCATATCCTGTTGAGTTCTGTTGCAGTCTAGTTTAAACCCAACACATAGGGTTTCCGCGGACACTGTTAAGGTAATCCCTACTTTGCCAAAGTATAGACCACTTCAATAAAACGTTCAGCTCTGTTTGCGTTTCGAAATTGGCCCTGCACTATGCTGTAAGGCGGACTGACAATAGTGGTATATCTAGCATCACTAAGTGAAATGTGCACTGAAAAGACTGATTTCTTGTTAGTCTTTTCAGGGGCTGTCATCCATACACATAGACTAAGACTTGATTGCCGCGATGGGGGAACGACACCTTGCATATTTCATGATCTGATTTAGCCATGCTCTGATTCAGATCTGGTAAACCGATCATGTGTTTAGCCCTGTCACATTGTCATTAGCTGTGCTTAGTTTGATAGAAATTCAGTATCGACATACCTGTGGGAACTGCTCTCCTAGGGTATTGTTGTACATATTCCAGCAGTTGTTACTGCCTGGCCGGGAGATATGCTACGTATCACAGCCATTGTTACTGACTGGTCGGAAAATATTGTAGCTATTGTTATTGTAGGGCCAGGTGATATTGTGTATATCACAACAATATCTATAGGATTAGATGGTATTGTAAGTATCTTACTAGCAGCAACTGTACTGTCAGGAAATATTGCATGTATTGCAGTTATTGTTACTTTTGGGCCATTGATTATTTTACATATCACAGCAATGATGTCTGTAGGATTAGACGGTATAGTACATTTCTTACTAGCAGCATCTGTAGAGTCAGGAGATATTCTACATGTTGCAACTATTGCTTCTGTGGATGTCCTAATCTCAGCGAGTGTAGCCCTAAGTCTTTTATTTGATACGGTTGCTCGCTTGACCATTGTTGATGTCTGGGGCAAATGCTGCATGATGTGCTGACGTAGTCATGGCGAGGTGTTGTGTATGGTCTGAAGAAGTTGTGTGTTGTGTAGCATGTACATCAAGGTGTTGTAATGGCCAGCGCTGACTTCCAGGAGGGGCTGTTTCTGTTCCAGTGGAACCGCCTGTTTTCTCCATCCCTCCTCCTCCCATCGAGGACCCTTCGGATGATGAAGAATTTAACGTTGATGATTTCAATGGTAACCTTTGATCCTCTGATCTCAAGCACAGCTGCTGTGTCTAATGCTTCTGGCTAGTGTGTCTCCGTGTGGGGCAACCATCAAGGTGATTGGTCGTCCACTCAGTGTTTCTCGTCACCTGGTAGAATTGTACGTCAGATTGTCATTTCACCAGGGGAAAACGTTAGGTTCAGAGACGTGCAACATTTCAACACTTATCAACAAACACTTACTTAGAAACCTGAGTTCACGAAGAATCCATGCATTCAGTTAACTTCTTTGAGTGGCATTTAGAAGTTAGTGTGACAAAACATAGAGGAAAGTTCTATGGATATACAACTTCTTTATTATTAATATGAGCGACGTTTCGGTGAAGCAACAAGCACCTGTATGGAGCAAGTGATATCATGTGGACTTAGACTTGCTTGATAACAGCATTGGTAGCTACATGAGACCTTAGTCTATTTGGACTTAAATCAGTATGACATACACTCTCGTTAATATAGACCTGGTCCACAAATAGGTGGTCGTGATACGAAAACTTACAGGGTAAGAAAAATGTTAGCAAATAATTGCCATCTGTAGCTTTAGAATTTTATCTGAATCCAAAGTCTAGTAAATTCTTGCTCTGTCTAATAAGCTTGACTAATAATAGTGCACACATTAGCACTAAGATCTACTGAAAGAAATGCAAGGGGCCAGGTTTGGGATGGTGGATCAAATTTGTCTTGGGGCACAAACTGAAGGGATGATAGTTGTAGCACTATGATTACAGCTGAGAATTGTCTGTGGTATTTTTAAAAAAATGGCGTATAAGGAAGACTCTTTGATCAATGCTTTGTCTCTGAAATTTTACCATTTTGATAAAAGCAAACAACTTTGTTTAATTTGAAAAGGAACAACAGTGAGATATGCGATTCAGACCTGAACCTTGAAGAAATCGAGACATGCTTTATTTATGCCTGTCACACTCCAATAACTGAGTTAGGTCTGGTCAGATGGGAAAGTGTTTATAAAATAAACTGAATAGGCTGCACAAATGCAAACACCTCCACACAATAACTGCTCCCTCAGATCTGTGAGAAACACTGAGTGGGTCTGACACAAGTTGCCCAGTGTGCTTCGCCTCCTCACCAGACTTCTAGAGCTGTTCTCTTTCTTGTCGTAGATCCGTAAGTGTCCTGTGTCTAGTGTTAGATGGGTGTTGAACTGTCCAGTAACAATCCCCTAGTTCCTTTCCAGGTGTTGCGGTTTAGCTTTGGTCACCTTGATCCCATCTGTTTCAGACACAACCTGCATCTTTCTGCAGAAATCCAAGATGGCTGCAGTACTGATGTTGATATGCTGAAATGGGCTTTCAGCATTTTTTAATAATACTGAGCAAAGGGTTTGGCTTGAATAATTTTGGGGATAACGTCTTCAATCAAGACGCAATTTCATATGAATATCCCGAACATTATACATGTTGCCCAACTTTTTTGGTCAGTATATTGAACTAAAAACATAACAATGTTAATGGCTTTTTCAGTGAATTAATGTATTATATTCGTTTAAGATGAGCTTTCTAGAGACAAAGATATATTCCTAGTGGCTTGGAGATGATGATTTTTAATGTCCTAACATTGTTGCTTTGGAGAGTGTCTTTCTTCCTCACTTGTTGCTGTGACCTAACCACAGTGAGATTTAAAACCTTTGTGTTGTGGGTACGTGTAGATTATAGTGTAGTTTTTCACCCATGATATATGTTTAAATAAGTATTCAAAGTCAGTCAGACTCTGTTAAATATTTAAATTTACCAAGTCTCATAATTATTTAGTTGGTTCATAAAAATATATTAATATACTTCTAAATTTCCTGATAATTGAAAAGCTAAGTTTAAAATCATGTCGCTTAATTGTAGGATAACTGGATTTAACACTTGTTTTGTTAATGTTCTTAAACATTAGGAATATTACAAGGAAAATAGGTTTAGACTGGTAAAAATCAAAACAGTAAGTTGGCTTAGTGCTAAGCTAAGATGCATACCCAATAATAACAAGGAGGGTTTTCTATGACATGCATAGCACAGACTCTTCACTTACACTAGAAAGTGGTAGTTTGCTTTTTTGTAGATTTTGCACTTTTAAGCAGTTTCAAGCACATGTAGACTTAGACATGCGAGATTAGAATATTGTTGACAAATCTGTGTTGTGATTTAATGTATCCATCGGTATGTGGAATTAATGAGCTGTCCTGTAGGTTAAAGGTCAGGGGAGGTAGCCCAGTGGTTAAGGTGTTGGCTCATCATGACAACCACAGGTTTGATTCCCTGTGTTCAGTGTGAGAAGCCTATTCCTTGTGAGCACTGGAACAAAGAGTGTACCGATGTACCAAGCATTGACATAACCTATTTGGAAGTATTTCCATCTACCAAAGTGTTTTAGGGGTTCTAAGGGTCTCATTACATGAAATTCTTGAACGTGACATGAGAAAGTATTTTCAGCCTACTTCATAAAAGTGTCATGTTTTCAATAACATGATCTGCATAATATGTGATACTATATGAACTGATATTGATTTACAATACCTTTTTGTTTCGTAATCTTTATAGTGTTTTAGTTATGTTCAGTTGCAGATGTGATAAAAACTGTATAATGACCAGGACAAGCTGATTGGCTGCTTGTGTCGGTCAAGATACCATACAGTACACAGAAATGTTCAAAGCCAGTGTTATTCTGGCCGATGCACCAGCTATATTTAAGTTTATTCTCAGCTCCCCGAGAAGTATACTATGTGTGCCTTGACTCAAGGGTTGAGTAAGTTGGGTTTTTGTAAAAAAAAAAAGACAATGTTGCGAGATTTGCAGTCATGGGTTTTGGTGCTGCTTTTACTGATGACGTTATGAAGTTAGACGTTGCTGTTATGATCGTATATTCGCTGGTGTTTTCAGAGGCAGTACAGGAACAGGTTGAGGCGACTCAGGCAGCTGAGGTGGAAGCCGAGCTCCCGCCACCTGGTAAATGAGGTTGATGACATCGTCGTAGAGGATGTCACTATTGTTGATGGTGCAGGGCATACAGTGCAGGAAGATGAAGCGAATAGCACATACCAATTTGTCAAGCATGGCTTAGGTTTAAGATAGTGTATTTGTTTTCCTATTTATTAAAAGTAATATTTTCCATAATGTAATGTGTGTGATATATTCGAACTGGAAACATGGATGATTTGTGGAATTGCTTATGTGTCGTATTTGCTCGAGAGTCATCTCAAACATACCAAAACTGAGGAAACTATTAAATGTCGCTTGCACTGGGTCAAGTGAGCCTACTTAATAGTCTTTTGTCTGTTATTTCTCGCCAAAACAGTACAAACTTCAGACTGTGCCTTTAATTCGACACAAACAGGTTATTTACGTCCTTTATACTAATGATCTTCGTTTGTTCTCTTGAATCTGAAAGACAATTGGCCACTTCCTCCGAGACGCGGAAGGGAGGAGTTACAGCATTTCCTAGAGTTAATTATTTCGAGAAGTGCTATCCATTTTCGGATTTTGTATTTAACAAATAAGATGTGCTTGTGGTTGGTATGTGTGCTTCAGTTGATTAGGCTGACATGCTTCTCTTCCTACACTGACTGTAGTTGTTTAACTGTCTCTTTCTTCTCAGTGTTTGCTACTAATGAGCATCATTTGATCATTGTTTGAGCATCATTTGATCATAGAATGGTCATCATTTGATCATCGAATGAGCATCATTTGAACATCACAAGCATCATTTGATCATCACAAGCATCATTTGATCATCACAAGCATCATTTGATCATCACAAGCATCATTTGATCATTGTTTGAGCATCATTTGTTCATTGTTTGAGCATCATTTCATCATCGAATGTGCATCATTTCCCGATTCATTTTCTGTGTCTGCTAACCTTGTGTGCTGTCTCTTTGACTTGCCAATAACCTGAATCTTGCACAGATTTCTTGTCTGTGTTGACTACTGTAACACAAGTTAACTGCAGATCAGTTTGGGGGACCAGTCATTTCTTACAGGGTAGGTGCATGTGTTTCAGGCGTTTTTGATGCACTCTTGTATCAGTAATAATGACTGCCCCTAATGATTGTCAGTATTTTGGATGACTCCCATTGATGGTATATTTTTTATGACATTCTCGGAAAATACAAAATGCGAAAGTTTTACTTTGTATTATAATTTGTTTTGTTGACCCTCCATAAATATGTATATTAATATATATGACCCTCCCTTGGAGACTGATATGTGTGTTTGGTGGAGACTCTGAATCCACCTCTGCCCCATGGAAATTGACTGGTCCTCCCTATATTTCACATGTCTCCATCTATATGATGATGATAATGTTTTTAGTTATCTTGATACTTAAAGAGTGTTGATAGTTTTTGTAACATGTTTCACATATCATATTTTCTCATAAATCCATTTTTTCATTCTTATAAAATATAAATGCCATATAATGTTGTGAATTTTCAGTAACTTGCTCAGTAGTAGGATAGTACTTTCAGATGATGAGTTAAATCATGCTATTTTCCTGGCAGCAAGTTCCATATATCTGCCATGCTCTACTGTACTTGTTTGACAACTAACATCATTTCATCTTTATTCACAACTGTGATTTGAGTTGAGTGCCTGTTAGGCATTAATCAGGTGGAAGGCTATTTCTCAGATAGGGCACGTCGCCAATGCATGCGTCTTCCTTTGAATAGGAATGCCACTAATATCACTCTAAGTAAATTGTCTTCCTTAAAATTAACATTTCTTTGTAACTAAATAACAGAATGTTATGTGCATGATGTTGCAAGAAATCTTGAAAGCTTAATTAATAAATGTATGATGTGAATGATATAACAGGATATTTCCTTGGAAACCAGTTGCCTATGTTGTATTTGTGTGGGAATGTTGGTGTTGCATTGTTAATCATGAACAACACCATGATCAAGTCTAGTCCTGCTATTTACGCATAAATACTGAATGTGTTGTGGATACAGGAGGGCAAAGGAAGAATTTATGTCTGAATTAAAGACACAGTGCAACATTTGAGAACATTGTAGCTTTCTCAGTGCATTATAGTTGATAATGCATACAGGAGTGTTATGAATATTTATACACCATGTCATAGTTTACCATGTGCATTATTGGATTGTTAGGCCACTTTGATGTTCATCCTCCTCTTCATCATCTTCATCATCATTTATTAACAACTGCTTCAAGTGGATTCCGCTTGTTCATAACAAAACATAGTATCCCCCAATTTCTTCGATACCCCCACTGCTCATGTCGTGTAGAAAATGTGAATATCCAAGGTTCAATATTTACGAGTGAAACCCATGTATATTGTGTGTCATGTACTCAGTGAAACAGATATGCCAACCGAAAATGAACTGTATTTTTACATTTGTCTGTTTTTGACATGGGACAAGAAGGAAGTTAGAGGAGTTGTAATTTAGTTTTGAAAATAAGTCAGTAATTGTTTAAATGTGAATGAGCATCATGAATAGACTGATAAACTTAAGATTACAATGGTCCCAATATAATGCTCAATTTCTCAATAAATTATTTTTCTACTCGGATGTTAGATAAGATGTTTGTTTTGTAGAAGGGTCATAGGACAATAGATAATCTACCATCGGTTGACCTTAGGTCAAGTTGTAGATGAGCACTGCACCTAGCTGGTAGAGTTGGAAACACGTAGACGTAGAGGGATGGTTCTCAAGTGCTATCTCTGAAAAGCTTTCTTAACTTAAATCTTGTTTTGATATTCTGATGTAAATTTCCTTGTGAGGACATGAGTTGAGTTGTTGAAACCGAAAGACTTGATATTTTGTATTTATTGTAATAAGTTGTCAATGTGTTATATGCATAGCTGTGGTTTCGAAGTCATGTTTGCTCAAAAGACGGATGAAGAAAGTAACTGTAAGAAGTTTCAGTTTAATTTGACGTAATGGCAAAGTGATAAAGCTAATGATTGTATTAATCTTTCATAAAGTTAAAGACCATTTGAAATTACATGACAATGATTATTTTCTTAGAGGATATTCCTTCCCCTCCTGAGGATTTGGTCACAGCTGATATTGCTGAAAATGACCAGGTTGAAGTTGAGCAGCAACTTTCAGCTGAAGTTGCTGAGACCGTTGAAGCCGTTGCTGATACTGAAACCTCGGCAGCAGCAATCGAAGAAGTTGAACAAACTTCAGAAGAATTTGCTGACACTCCAGCTGAGGTCATGGAGTCTTTGCAAGGCATTGAATCTGAATTAGAGAATGAAGTTGAGGTTGCACAGTCTGCCGAGGTGGAAGTTGAGGCAGCAAACGACGTACATGCTGAAGTGACCGAGGAATTGACAGAAAACAATGTTACGGAAATAACTGAAAATGGTAAAGTCTATATTGGTTTCTATGTTTGTAAGCTTTGCAGCTTGAAGCATTCACCTGCTGAGCAACGAACACCTGGTGTAAGGGTCATCAGTTGAATACTACCTGTCTAACTTGTGTCGTCCCTTGTGCAGTTAATATGCATGACTTGTACAGATGACAGAACCCTGTGGAAATCTTACATTGTCTGTTTACTGTTTCACTAATTGTCTTCCATGTCGATAGATACCAGATAATCTATACCCCTACCCAATAGAATGTACATGTGAACACTTGTTCCTATTAATAAGGTTCATCAGGTAATGGTTTTATGTTGCATGCTCTTCGAGAATGGGATACAATATGGATCAAATAATGATACAATATGGTTGTGTGGTCTAATGATTACTGAACAGTTTATTGACCGTTGCATGACAGTTTTTAGATTCAGTGTTCATATTTGGACAATGGGAGATGTGATCAATTAATTGACTACAGTGTCTTAATAAGGGTCCACTTTGTCCAACAATGGCTTTGAACAATGTGTGTAGAATATACAGCCAGGTAGACCACTTGAAAGGGACTACTGTGTGTGAATGAAACCAGCATGTGTACTGAGTCCATGTTACAGCTGAGGGCGTGGGGTATTGATCTGAAGCAGTGCAATAGGAAGCTTAATCATGCCCTCTCTGATCAATGTGGGGCGGTGGGGTAGCCTAATGGTTAAAGCGTTGGCTCGTCACGCTGAAGACCCGGGTTCGAATCCCCACATGTGCACAATGTGTGAAGCCCATTTCTGGTGTCCCCCGCCGTGATGTTGCTGGAATATTGCTAAAAGCGGCGTAAAACCAAACTCAGTCAGTCTCTGATCAATGTAGCAATAGTTTGGCATAATGATCCCTGACAGCAGGTGCTTGATGTCTGTGAATGCATGCAATTGGGAAGACTGGCATCAAACAGCTATTGCTTGACATCTGTGAATGCATCTGTGTGGGGACACTGATCCCGACAGAAGGTGCTTGATATCTGTGAATGCATTTGTCTGGGGACACTGATCCCGACAGAAGGTGCTTGACATCTGTGAATGCATCTGTGCTGGGACACTGATCCCGATAGGTGCTTGATGTCTGTGAATGCATCTGTGTGGGGACACTGATCCCGACAGAAGGTGCTTGATATCTGTGAATGCATCTATGTGGGGACACTGATCCCGACAGAAGGTGCTTGATATCTGTGAATGCATCTGTGTGGGGACACTGATCCCGACAGAAGGTGCTTGATATCTGTGAATGCATCTGTGTGGGGACACTGATCCCGACAGAAGGTGCTTGATATCTGTGAATGCGTCTGTGTGGGGACACTGATCCCGACAGAAGGTGCTTGATGTCTGTGAATGGGAAGACTGGTACCTCACAACACCAGCTGCATTATCTATGAATGGCTGTAATTGTATGTGACTCAAGCTTAATCGGACACTTGAAACAATATCAGATGTTTCTTGATTTACTAACAGTTTTAGGGTTAAATCTGATGATATAGATGTGTAGAACTTAATCCCCAATGAGCAAACCCATTCTAGGCTAAGTGTTTCCAATGACCCGGGTTCGATTCCTGTTGTTCCAACACTGGGAGATATTAATGGAAAAGTGCTGGAACACGCATGATACTGTACTCTCAACTGCCTTGTCAGTGTGCTGGTGTGGCTGAATGATGAAAGGAGCAAATGGAAAGGCGTGTTAAGTGTTGACTTTGTTTCTTGTGATGTCTATACAAGGCTTGTTGCCATGAGTATACAGCTTTGCATGTTTTGCACATTATAGCCAAAACACCAACAGTTGATGTCAGGTGTATGACTGATTATGAAATATTGCTTCAGCATGTGCCTTGTACAAAGCTGCATCTCTTGGGATGCTAGAATGCTGGTGCGTTCAGATTGTGTATTGTCCTGATGACGTTTCTAGGTCTGTCAGCTGCATAACCATGCTTATGGGTTTCCCTGAGTGCTTGAAGTCCAAGAAGGGTTTCCCAGAGTGCTTGAAGTCCAAGATGGGTTTCCCAGAGTGCTTGAAGTCCAAGATGGGTTTCCCAGAGTGCTTGAAGTCCAAGATGGGTTTCCCAGAGTGCTGGAAGTCCAAGTCCCAAGTGCTTGAAGTCAAGGGTTTCCCAGAGTGCTTGAAGTCCAAGATGGGTTTCCCAGAGTGCTGGAAGTCCAAGATGGGTTTCCCAGAGTGCTGGAAGTCCAAGATGGGTTTCCCTGAGTGCTGGAAGTCCAAGATGGGTTTCCCTGAGTGCTTGAAGTCCAAGATGGGTTTCCCAGAGTGCTGGAAGTCCAAGATGGGTTTCCCAGAGTGCTGGAAGTCCAAGATGGGTTTCCCTGAGTGCTTGAAGTTCAAGATGGGTTTCCCTGAGTGCTTGAAGTCCAAGACGTGCATTACTTCATCACACTGACACATTGAGACATTGACATGGCGGATGCCATTCATGGCGCCTTAATGGCGTGGATGCTGGCTTACCACATGTACTAAACTCACTCACTCACTCCATGCATGGATTATGACTGACGGCATGTCATACCGCCACAATGATGTGGGTCATGACCGATTGCATATCTTTGCACCTCAAAGCATGGATCATGTCTGATTGCCTAATATGGCACCTGTAAGCATGGGTCATGATTTATTGGATTTATTGGTGCCACAATGATGTTGGTCATGGATAGCTACGTGTCGTGGCACCTGTAAGCGTGGATCTCGACTGACTGTGTCATTGCACTGATGGTGTATCATGATACCTTGCTGACTCCACGTCGTCATATGAGCAAAATATTATCAAGTACCGACGTAAAACCCAATTTCACCTCACCTCACCTCACCTTGCTGACTCAGACAATTACTCTGAACTTATGTAAATGATGAGGATCACTGCACATGCTTACTAACCCATGTTAGCCAGGTGCAGGCTGACAGTGTGTACCGGGAAAATTGCTGACAATGCCACAAAACAACATTCACTCGCTGCTTGGAACTGGAAAATGGTTGACCATCATATACTGATTCACTCACTGCAGTACTGGCTTAGAGCTGACTCAGCTTAATATTTGGTGGTAGGACTTGACAAGCCTCTTGCTATATTTGTTTGTTGGTCACTTGAAGCATGTCTACCTGTGTCATATACTGTTAAGACACATACTTGCATTTTCATTGTCATCAAATATATTGTATTCTTCACAAAGATGATACACAACTAATATTGCCTTTAACGGGTTGTGTTTGCCGGTATTCCAATTGTTTCCTTAACTCAATGACATTGTGATGTGAATTGTTTTGTTAGCTTTAGGTCAAGGCAATTATCTGAATGGATACTTAATAACATGATATCATGTTGCATTAACATGCTGAGTGACATAATGCTCAGGTTTCAATGACACGATCACCAAATGAAACATTTGGTCTGGAGATGTTTTCTTAAAATTTTATTAAATATATATTTTATCTCTAACACTCCTATTATATGCTGCATGCTCTTATGGCTTGAATGTATATTGTATATCTACATCAGATCATATAGGTGCACAAGCACCTTTTTTCGGAAAAAAAAGAGGATTGTGTTTTCTTTTTCAAAAAAAAGAGAAAAGAGGATTGTGTTTTGTTTTTGTGTAACGGATGTGATATTAGTTGTGGTGAAACCTTCCAGTATCATCTCAAGTTGAGGAAAACGTTGTGGAACAAGTTGAAGAAAATGCTGACGTTGCCGTGGAAACAGCTGAAGATGGTAAAACACTTATACTAAGCTTGTCACTAACTGATAAAGTTCAGCAAGACTCATGGACTAACAATTAACAGAACAGGCTATGGACTAAACCCTCTCATCTCCTCAGCATAGCAAGACTAATGTCTGTTTGTTTAGTTAGTTAGACTTGTGGTTTTAGCATTCACTTCTAACAGAGAGGAACTGGGTTTGATTCCCAACTTGGATAATGGTGTGAGGCCCATTTTGAATGCGGAAATAAGTCTCAAATAGATTCGGTTCTTTCAGCATGTTTCACCATTTTACATTCACTTGTCTTTTCTGCACCTTGGTACGACTCCTGCTTTACTGATAATGCTGACTTGTGATGTGTTGGTCCAATTAAAGGCCAAGGGAAATGCACCTTAACTGCCTTTATCCTCTTGGGGTTGGTTTGAATCTCATATTTACCACAATTATGATCCTGGGGATTTGAAATTCGTTACCATTATTACTTCATTGACAGGGAACTTTCAGTGGGGGAACTACAAGCCCCATGAGGCCTTAAAGTCTAGACTGTAAGGGTAGGCTATATAGTCTGGTGGTTAAACAAAGTAGTGGCTTTTCTGAGTTAGGCCTCGGTTTGATTTTTCACATAGGTAAGTTTCCTCCAAGTTGCTTAAATTTGTATTCACACACTCACTCTGTAGACTGAAATATTCTCTTTTTGTGATACATTGGACAAGTTTGCCTCCATGTTTCACTCACTCACTCATAACCGACTAAAGCATCTTCAACTCTCTCTATAACTCCTTGCATGCATTCTATGAATCTTTTATATATCCTGACAGCTTTCATCAGTCAGAGACGTAATGTGTACGCAAGACGGGTGCACTCCGCGGTATTATCTGAAGTGCTTCACCCTAATTAATTCAATCATGCTGTTCATGCTGATTGTGCATATGTTATGTTATAACCTTTGTTGTGTACTGTTATTGTTTAGAAGGATATTGAAATAACCCTTGTTATATTGAGTTGACATGTTACTAACCAACCAATAATTGTGCTCGAAGATGTCTTACTTTACAACAAATGATAGGGGCGGAATGTACTGAACAGGCGATACTTGTGCTGGAAAATGCGCGTTACCAAGCAACCAATAGTAGTTAGGGAAGACCTGTTACAAAGCAGTCAATAATAGAGACTTAAGACATGATAACAAGCATGCTAATTACTCAGATTATTCCAGCCAAATAAATTACAATGACGATATTTGTGTTCTTTCCTAACTCAATACGCTGACACTAAACAGTTAAACTGAATTACTGATAAATACAGCTGACTCCCTCACTCACCCATTCCAATGTGATAAGCCACTGGCAAAGCTATTCAGTTTCAAAAGTAGTTAGGTCTATCTCTGACTGCTCTTGCAGTGACCACATGGGTACATTGTGTGAAACCCATTTCTGGTGTCCCCCGCTGTGATGTTGCTGGAATATTGCTAAAAGCGGCTTAAAACCAAACTCACTCACTCACTCACTCTTGCAGTGAAGGAATAATTTGATATATTACATTATGAAACTGTAGAGTGAAGTACTACACATTAAATCCACTGACATATTCCATCATTGAGTATAGTATTGTGATGTACCTGAGTGTCGAATGTGTTACCAACCCGTGGCCAAGTGTCAGGCAGTCCGTTTCCTCAATTATGCAGGTATGGTAGGTAGGTTCAGGATATTTCCACTACTGCTTGGCATGGCAACCATTTGTCAGCTTGGACCCCGGAATGTTCGAGACCCACTGTGTAAAATATTTGCCAAGGCCTGGAGAACATACGTGTGTTTGTCGTGAGACTGTTTGGCTATGTAGAGAATTGGAACAATGATTGATCTTTGAATTATTCAGAAAAAATGCTTTAGTATCCTTGGTTTTATCTGTTAAATATATTTAATAAACATTGCTTATGTTCAGGGAAACACGGTATAAGCAACATGCGACAAATATTTTTCCAGAATAACTATAGTACACACATTGTAAAATAATGCTGATTATGTTTTTATGTATTTGTGAATTATGCATTAATTTGCTTAGTTTGCTTGTAATTGAATTTTGTATGAAAAGTTTTTGGATATGCATGGAAAGAAATTGTGTCGGTAAGAATATTAGTGGTGTATAGATAGCACCTTCATGTAGTCACAATGGTGTTCCCCGCCATGATATTGCTGGAATATTGCTAAAAGCGACGTAAAACAATACTCACCCACTCACTCATGAAGTAATGAGTTGGAGGAGGCAAGTGCGCTGGGGCCCATGATTTGTGAAAATGTCTATATTTGTCCATAATGAAAGGAGACAGTTTTATGAATGTTAAGTTCATGTTTTGAACAGGTGGGAGACAGTTAATGCATACCTTTAGTAAGACCTTTAAACAAACAAGATTAACTGAAGTTGTCTTCCTTGAGGCGTTTGAATAGCGGTAAATGTTTATGACGATCATTTATCTGTGTGTCTGAGAGCACTGTCAGCGTGATGTAGACTGATGTATTGATAATATGGTGGGATGGGTCATATGACACCTGTCAATCAAGCATAGCCGACGCCCACTTCAGTTAATCATGATTATGTCCTTGTGGATAAGTTGGATATGGCATACATTGTTGCCAACTATCTGAAATTTTGTTTTACAATGTTGAGAGATACCATTCTATATACTGAATTCTACCCTCCTGATGAAATGATATTCAAGACTCTGTAATTATCATTAATTATTGACATATCTTGTATCAAATAATGTGAAAACATCTGTAAACTTTCATTTTAGTAGTTAAGTCAAAATATTTCTATCAGTCATCAGGGGCACCTGTCAGATGTGAGCAAGAACATATTTTTGATAGAATCAGAATAGGAAACTGATTATCGGAAAATAATCAGATAGTACTTTGTAAAACAATTTATGCTTCACATTACCTTTTGTAAAATAAAGATAGTGTTGAGAATGATGTATTTTGATTGTACATGTCTGTATCTGCTGTCAGTGAAAGAAATGTTTTGTGAATTGAATGGGAGATGCTATTTGTTGCTTGTTTCATTCTGCGATATGATGGGCTGGATGGGTGAGTCCATGTTTGTTGCCTGGGCAGGACATAGTTCAGGACGACCAAGTCACTTGAGACATGCATGGTTGTGGTGTATAAACAAGTTATAGCATGACCTAGCACCTGTCATAAACATCTAGTGATATATAGGATATGTAATACCATGTTATCTGCTGTACTGTCCCAGTTACTGTGATAAGACTGCACACCATGTTTAACATAATGTGACACTTTTAGTTGCTGAACATGACAGTCCAGTCACAAACTCATATTTATGTGAGCAGTCAATTACCATTTTGTCCATAGACATTTTTGCATGACACAATTTCGGTCAAATATGACAATAAATACGGTCAGTCAGTGCATTGTGTGTTCGCAATTTGAAGCAAAGAGGAAACTCTTTACGAAATTATCCAATAAGATCATCATGAATTCATCCAGAAAATCAATAGTTCAGTGACGCCTGTTATACCCCTTAATAAAGATAAATGAATTATTGCGCAGTTCTCATTAAGCATTGTAAGGCGGCAATATTTTGAATAATGCTGAGTGAAGATCATTTCAGGTATTAATGTATTGTGTATTAATGGGTATGTAATACGATTCATCTGGTGTATAAATCCTCTTAACACCAAGGCTGATATTTAGTAAGGTGTGTATCTGGTGTTCTCCCTGTTTGTGTGTTATCTGTCTGCATTATAGTTTGTTTATAGTTTGCAGCTGCTTGATAAGATAAAACCAGTATTTTTTTCAGTCTCATAATATTCAGATATTGCAACTAGCTCTGAAGGAAATCTTTCATCCTCATTGTGCATCAGTAGATCTATGTGGTGGGCTATGCTCTACCACCATGTAAGCTTTAATATTGCTGAGTGTGGTGTTAAACAACAAACAAAACAAAGAAGTTATGCTCTAATGAAAACTATTATTTGTTGTTAAACCCATGCATGCGTCAGTATTCCAGTTATCTGAACATTTCTTGGTTCGTTCTGTCATTGTTGAGAAGGTAGGAATGTACCTGGATCAGTGGATTGATAAGGATGGCTTTATTGTGTCCTAGGAATCTGCTTACTGTGTGTCATTGCTTTGATATTTGTTATGGGGGAACGGTGGAGTACTGTTGTGTTGTTAACCGTGATAGCTGAGACGGGTTGATGTCCCACCATTTCTGTACATATTGTACAATGAAAGCGACGAAAACTTCACGTTCATCTGCAGCTAGGTGTAGTGGACTTGTTTAATCTTGTCCATAGGAAACAAGAAAAAAGTTCTTTCTTGATTGGCTGGGATATGGAGACAGTACAGAGAGTTGTATATATCTTAATTACTCACCAGGGGGCCGGGGTATATATCCACGTAACCTGAGATCATATGCCTGCTAGGCAATACGACTTGGTGACTATAAACTGTGATATGTAGATGCCGGTGCTAGGACACAGGGTTACGTCAGGGGCACGACTTGGATCACATGCAGCAGAATGTTAGGGATGATTCACATGTTGTTTGTTTCTTTTGAAGAAATTAGATTAGTGTATATATCATCTGAGAAGAAAAGAAATGTGAAGAATGAGAAAAGCAACTGCTTGTATTTTCAGAAACCTACAGTGTAGAATTGTTTGCTTTTTGTGTTATTTATCTCAGTTCCATTCAATAGGGGCATGTATTCTTTTTGTGGGTCGAGATGTTCTCACCTTAAAGAGACACTGTTAGGAAAGTTAGGATTATTTCACATGTGAAAAAAGGGCAGTGGGGTAGCCTAGTGGTTAAGGTGTTTGCTCGTCACGCCTAAGACCGGGTTCGAATCCCCACATGGGCACAATGTGTGAAGCCCATTTATGGTGTCCCCTGCCGTGATATTGCTGGAATATTGCTAAATGCGGCGTAAAACCCAACTCACTCACTCCCTCCTCACATGGGTACAATATGTGAAGCCCATTTTCTGGTGTCCCCCCCACAGTGATATTGCTAAAATTGGCGTACAACCTAACTCACTCACTCACTCAAATTAATTATTGGGTGTCCCTTGAACCTCCAGTTTTGTAGGATGACATCCTAGTGCTATGAGTGTCGTAAGTACAGTATAGGAGATGCAACAGTCGTAGCTCTACGATAGCTGCGTGAAGTGAGTCCCTGGATTGGCCATATCCATGTACCTGTGTTTTAGCAAGTAAAGCAGCATCAGTGAAAGTGTTGATCAGCCTGAAAATATGGTCACGTTCATGCAGTGTTATACTCTTATGCAACTGAAGTTATGCTGAAGTGAGGCAGTTCCTTTGAATGTTAATGTTTTGATGTTAGACAAATGCTTCTTTCATCTCCGGTTTATGTTGTAGTTTATGGTGCTCAAAGAGATCTGCAGTACTGATTTCCTGTGGCAGAGAGAATTCATCTGTATTGTTTCCAGGATGATTTATGTCCCAGTCGGCTAAATTTCAGAATGAATTTTGTTTGTTGTGAAATACATCCCACCATAACCAGGACATTAAAACTGAGTGTTCAGTGTTCATTGAATCTATATATAGTGCTGACTGGTTGTTTGTGGCAGACCTTGCGTTTCATAGCTGTTGTTGTACTCTTGTACTTGACACTTACACTCAACGTCAGTGACACGGCAGTCCAGCAGACATGTTATTTCCCCATTTGTCATATCTGTATAGTCTTCTGAGACACTATCACCCAGGCCCCTAAGCTCCTATGCTATTTATATGAGGAGCAAGACAGAGAGCGTGTTGGTTGGCTTGCAGTAGGAACTTGTGGATTTCCACAACATTTATCAGTGGTGTGGCAGATAGTATACACAGTTATCTACTTCCTGTTAGTTGATCCTATCCCCATTGGCTGATCGTGTCAGGGGGTAATGCGTCTTTGAAACAGATTCTACGCACATCTGCTAAACACAACAATAAACACAAAAATGCAAGTTGTAAACTAGTTTGTTTGAACTTGTATCTGTGTAGATGAACGTGTACTTAGAACAACAATTATAAAGTAAATATTGTCATTCTTCAGCATTTTGAGAGGCAGCGGGGTAGCCTAGTGGTTAAAGCGTTTGCTCGTCACACTGAAGACCCATGTTTGATTCCCTGCATGGGTACACTGTGTGAAGCCCATTTCTGGTGTCCCCCGCCATGATATTCCTGGAATGTTGCTAAAAGCGGTGTAAAACTAAACTCACTCACTCACTTTATGATTTTGTGTTTGCTTTTAGAACCATAAACTCAAATCCAAAAAAGGTTGAGACATTCTGTAAGTTGCCAAGATGTGATGTTCTGATAGTGGCACCTGAGTGCCAGATGGAATTGTTTAACATATAACAATCTAAATTCTGCCATCAGGATTTGTTCGTGTAAAACTGACCATAAGATCGTTGTGAAACGTGAGTCATCACTGCAGCACAATTAACCTGCGATAATGCGTCATTTATCCAGATAAGAGTCGTGAGTAACTGTCTCGGTCCCTTTGCACAGCTGTCTCCGGTGCTCCTCGCGTTGGCGTATGTTGCATCGTCAGTTTCCGTGTTGACCCACAAATGTTGACAGATCTGCATCTTATTGAATTGTGAGACTTGCAGAAATCAGAACATTGTCACAGTGTGGTCATAGGAGCTCTATGTCCACAGCTCGGCTAAATCTGGAAGAAAAGCCCCGTGACTTGCCACCTCGCCAACACACAAATTCGGGGCCTCAGAGATGCATCTTCACAAACGTCATCCTCTCTGATTAAACATCGTAAACGTGTCCGGGATGGGAATTTCTTTTTGCTCCTGCCAGTTCTAGGATTGGTCAGATTAGCCATTGTTGCTTTTTGTGATTTAAATAAAATGGGAAGGGGATGTTCAGGTCAGTTGAGAGTTTCGCTTCAGGAGGACAGCTCGTCCTGACTTTTGGTTTGAGTCTGATTGAACACAATGACGGTAACAGGGAACAGTAAGTATATAAGTATGCATGTAGCTGTCAAACTGGATAGTGGTGTTGAGATACACTTGAAGTATTACCTATCAATATCCTCATGCTTGGTCTAAAATATTCAAACTGTTGAACATTGTCATTGAGAATTGTTCAGATTAACATTGATTTCTATAATGCACTGGTAAAACAATCACAGCTTGTTGATGAGAAGTACTTGTCCTTACTATAAACATGAAGTATCCAGCTCTAAAATTGCTTCTTAGGAAGGTTGGGGCAGTGGGAAAACCTAGTGGTTGAAGTGTTCGCTCGTCACGCCGACGACTCGGGTTCGATTCCCCACATGGGCACAATATGTGAAGCCCATTTCTGGTGCCCTCTGCCGTGATGTTGCTGGAATATTGCTAACAGCAGTGTGCAACCATACTCGCTCACTCTTAAAGAGGTGGTGTCAAAATCTTTTATATTTATAATTGTTAAAAAACCCAAGAATAATATTGATAATCATTTAACTATTTTAATCAGTACATACTGTAAAGAAATGTGAAAAATAAGGCTAGGTGACATGCAGAATAATTGAATACACCATTACTGGAAGCCATTATCGGCAGCATCAATGAAAATATCAATCTTGAAGATTCAACTTATGTAGAATTATGGTAATAAAGTGTGTATATATACTACCAAAATTTTGGTATTAATATTTATATATGGAAGCCTAACTGGGCCAAATATTCTAGTTCCAATGGGAAAATCCCCATAATAGAACCACATGTACTTGGTTGTTCTGGGCATGGATGCTATGCTTTTGCTGATTTAGTCCTATGTGATAATGACATGTGATACGTGATTTTGTACTGTGTGATAAGTGATTTTGTACTGTGTGAGTTTGTGCCATGTTATAACTGATGACTGTCTGACCTGGATGTTTCACTGTCACTTTGTTTCAGGGATCATGTTTCTATTTTGTGAAGTTGATTAATTCTAACATCCTTAAGTTTCAGAGAAGTATGCTATTTGTTATGATATTTGTTACTTTGTTTCTTTTAGAATATGAAGTTGTGATTCAACTTTGTCTTCCAAGAAATGTTCCCATGTTAAGGTTATATTGTGCTGACCAATGGCATTTTGTTTTCCAGCTGCTACAAGTTCTGTGAATGGACAGTCAGTTACATCAACAGTAAGTATGCAAACATTTATCTCACGATTATCAAGGGCAACAAGGGTTGTTATAAGTTAGGGCTGAATTGTGTCCCTTAGCTGTGTCTGGATTTGCTTTTTGAGGGATTATTGTTAGATTGTGACACTGATTATTGTATTAGTATTGTATTGTTAACTCGATGGATTGCCATGGGTTGTATTGACACATCACTCAATCATTCCACGACAAGGGAAGACCAGCAGTGATAGACATCACCTCATCCATACATATTAAGCCCTTTTATTAGGTGTATACAGTCAAATCCCGATGAGTTGAATGCCTGTGTCTCGAATATTATGCATAACTCGAAGTACCTGTCGGTCCCGACCATTCCCTGTTATAGTTGTCATCATTTGAATACCGGTTACACAAATTCGTCTCATAAATACACATGATGACTCGAGAAGGAAATTTGGTCCCATGAGATTCAAACAACAGTAATCTTGTATACATAAGCCGAAGTCAGTCAATGAGAAGTTGATTGGTGTAGCAAACTGATCCAATTAACAAACCAGCGCGGCGAATGGGTGAGTTCAAAAGGCAGATTAGTGATTTTACGGAAATCACTGTCTGTGCTAATCAGACTAGAACTGATAAGGTGCCCCTATTAGTGATATGGAAATCATTAATAAACAAATGCTTAGGCGGAGGAATTAGGACTGGATCATCTTTTTTTTCTACCCTCATAGACATACCTATGTCTCGAATACAAAGTCAAATTTATTACTTGGTCCCCAGCGATTCGACTCATCGGGATTTGACTGTATTTTGATTTGGGTCTCGGCTTTAATTTTGCTACTTAGTAATCATCATTCTGTGTTGACCGCCTCCGTGGTGTAGTGGTTAGAGTGTCTGCCCGGAGAGCGGAAGGTCGCGGGTTTGATCCCCGACCACGTCATACCAAAAGACGTTAAAATATGGTACTTGTTGGTCCCTGCCTGGCGCCCGTCATTAATGGGTACAACAAGGACCGGTCGGCTCGGAGTCAGTATAATGTGTCTGAGTGGGGTATTCATGCTTCACTGCAGCATGGTTTCTTAGTGGGCTAGCACTATAAAACCAGCTTAAATCTGGGCTAGTACAAGCACCCGCACATACACATACACACGCATGCACGTCGTCATATGAGCGAAATATTCTCATTTACGACGTTAAATCCAATTTCACCTCACCTCATTCTATGTTATTTATTAATTGGTCCTACTTATCCTTTGACAGTGTCTCTTAAGGTCATGTTTCGTAAATCAATTAAATTTCCTGATAGTTTTGTTGGGTAGTTTTGACAATTTGCTCCTCTGCACTGTTGCTGTGTGAAGTGCCCCGTCCTGTGCCTAAACCTTGGACAGCATGTGCTCGACAAACTGTAGATATATGGAGGATACTGAACAGCCTTCTATGTAATATCATTTTTATTAAACGGGTAAATGATTTGGTTTCACTTGTTTATACTAAATCTTTCACGAGTTTAATAAAGATGGTATTTCACAGAAGCGAATTTAGTATTCTGTTTATTACTCTCCAACATAGATTGATAGAAACTGCCTACAGTGTGATGACTATAAGCTTTCCGCGAGTTAAGCATTATGTAGACCATTATGACGTCATAGTGTAGCGGTATTATACTAGTGAAATATTGCCGTAAAAATATCTTCCATGGGCAAATAATAATTACACTTGCATTGTCGGGCACGCCAGGCTTCACATTGCTCCTTGTGATGGAGGCTGATGTCTGACAGCCTGTCAGCCTACATTCGTGGACAGGAAGTACAAACATCGATATTCATCAGTCAGCAGCGTTGTCATTCCTGATGACATCAATTAACGACATTGTCATTCGTTTGATTATCCCAGTTTTGCTTTTCTTGATAGTTTGATTGATTGGTTGGAACATTCCTGCTGCTGTGTATATTCTGAGGGCTAGGAGTTTTGATGGAATAGAGATTAGGAGTTTAATCTTGTTTAGCTAAATGAGATCTTTGTGTGGTTCTTAGTGAACGGTTTTATAATCAAGGTGTCTGTTATTAATCATAATCACTGTATGTAAGGAAGTGGACTGCTTGTTTGTATTGAGGCGGTCGGTACCCTGGCAACATGGGACGATGCTCATACTATCAGTCACTGGTTGATTGTTTTCAGACAACTACTGTAAACGTACTTATTTTCGCGTGGTGCAATTTTCGCGGAATTGACAGTTTAGACTACATCGCGCGGTCAATTATTCGCGCAATCAGTAATTGCCGGAACTGCCAGCTGTCTCTTTAGCCGCCACTAATAGCAGTGAAAACAAACAGAGTGGCTGAACCTGTCAGGCGGCATTTATTACTTACTCACAGGAAATCCCTATCTGTGCGATATACTAGTACACAGTAACCCGTTTACTCCCGGAAGAGATGTAAAACACATCAGTATTAACTTATACTGTATATGAAGCTCTTTGTGATTTCAAACAAGCGGGGTTGTTGTGAATGAGATGATTGAGTGTTAGTGACTATTCGCTTCATGATGATACGTTTGTATCTAAATGAATAAATAAAATACTGCTGTATTATTTCTTTCCGAGTCGTTTCGTGGTAATCTGTTTTGTATCAAACCATCTGTCATGTGACCAATTTCCATGGCGGCCACAACACACATTGCTGTTTTCGCTAATTCGGCGATGGGATTTGGTTCACTATTTAATTATGTTTTTGGAAATCCATTACATCGACAGTTAAGTTTGATTCTTTATGCTACTATCAGTCGTCATTTTAAGATTCCCGTAGATTTCTGTCTTCAAACTTAATGTGTTATGGTAACAACTCAGGGCTTTGCGTGGCTAGACTGAATGAATGACAGGTTTATTAGCGGGAGTATAAATTTTCGCTAAAATGTTTTGTTTTATGCGAAAAGCACGAAAATAAAACCTGCGCGAAATATACTACGTTTACAGTATTACAAGGCTTGAGTTATGCTGAGTGTGGCAAGACAAAGCATGCATACTCTATTTTACATGATTTATTCCTGAGTACATTATGAAACTTATTCCTCAGTACATTATCAGATTTATTCCTCAGTACATTGAGAGTTTCTCCTCAGTACATTATCAGATTTATTCCTCAGTACATTATCAGATTTATTCCTCAGTACATTATGAGATTTTCTCCTCAGTATATTATAAACCTCAGTACATTATGAGATTTTCTCCTCAGTACATTATGAGATTTTCTCCTAAGTACATTATGAGATTTTCTCCTCAGTATATTATAAACCTCTGTACATTATGAGATTTTCTCCTCAGTATATTATAAACCTCAGTACATTATGATATTTACTCCTCTGTTTAGGTTGAAACTGTAACAACATACAGTGCGCCAGAGCCCGAACCGGAACCAACCCCAGCCCCAGCTCCTGTCAGTCAGCCTGAGCCAACACCAGAGCCCACACCAGAACCCCCAAAACAAGCAAACGGAACTGGCGATATCTTTGGCCTCAGTGCCAAGGAGATGAAAGAGAGGCTGAAGTCCCGAAGAAAGGTTGACCCACGTACGCAAGGTGTAGGTTTCGGGGAGAAGTACAAAGTGTTTGAGCGTCTGTGAACGTCTTCTCATCCTTAAATTGTCCAATCAGAACCAGCATAACCAGTTGGAGGAGCTGCTTCAGTGCGGAGCTGCTAGCAGCTAGCAACATGAGACTTTTCTAATAATGGAAACATGATACAGATTTTTGCTCGAATTTTCTTTTTGAATTTGTTGCGAATTTGTGGATATGGTTTGTGAAAATGCCTATTCACTCTTGGGTCACCTTCCAGCCAGATTCATAATGGACCAAGTTTATTTGACTTTACACCTACACCTATATATATCTATATATATCTATACATATATTCGTTACATATTACATTATGTAGAAAGCTTTGTTGATATCCTCAAAGCAAGTAAGAGAACTCGTGTTTTATTATTGTTGACGATTGAGAGACCAGGATGATTTTATACACTTATGCATTCCATGTTCATTGCCTAGTGTACAGAGACTTTGAAGACTAGGGGTAGTAGTATATCTGAAGCTTAAGAGGAACTAGAATGATTTGAATAATTCTGCTAACTCAAGTCCACAGTGTGATAATGTACAGAGGTTTACAGGTGTAGACTGTCGCCCTGTCCACTCTGGCGACACAGACATGTCCTTCGGACTGCTCACTTGTGTAATTATTCCAGGAACAATTGTATACACATATATTTTGTTAAGAATAAATTCATTTCAAAAAACATTGTCTCATGCTTTTTGACACATCTGGGTGGTTTGATGAAATATTGTTGACTAGTTGTCCCCCGCCGCAATGCGGAACGGGGGACTATGTATTCAGCAGCGTCTGTAGGTACGTCCCAATTCTTGTTAACGCAATATCTCATGAAATGTTATACCCAATGTCTTCAAATTTGGTGACAGCCTACATTGAGAGATTACGCAGACACCAGTCGATTTGGGTGACCTTGACCTTATTTTCAAGGTCACCACGACATTGACCACTTTTCAAACTGTTATTAACGTGATATCTCATGCACTGTTGTACCCAGTGTCTTCAAATTTGGTGACATCCTACATTGGGGGATTACGCAGACACCAGTTTATTTTGGTGACCTTGACCTTATTTTCAAGGTCACCACGATACTTTGACCGCTTTTTAAAGGCAATATCTCATAAAACATTGCACCCAATGTTTTCAAGTATGTTGACAGCCTACATTGGGTGATTATGCAGACACCAGTCATTTCAGGCATCTTGTATGTGACCCAAAAATAAAAAGTAGTAAATATAGATATTCCATTCTTTAGCGGTGGGGGGACATTGCCATATCAGTGGCAAACATTTGTTTATTTCCTGTTTTGCTGATGTCAGCAAGGAGCACTGGATTGAAACTGGTCCTGGCACCTACTGGGAGGAGGCCGATGGTATGATCAGTAAGAGGCAACAGCAGGGCTCCAGTTAATTTTTCAACATCAGGAGTACGTACTTATTTTTTCAATATAGGAATTCTGGAACAACTAAAGAGTACATTTAGAGTACTGAATGGAATTTAATGGAGTATCAGTAATCTTGTGTTTCGTTTCATGTATGCACAATAACATTGCTACTCTTGTGTAAACAGGTCAATAAAACAATACTTTTTCAGATAAATACGTCTAAATGATTCAAAGACCGTACACCACTGCTGTGGTGTGTATCTGCTACGTTTCCTAAATTATTTCCTATCGTATCGTGCATATTTTTTATCTGTACATACGCCGATACGGCCTTTATCTGGAGCCCTGCAACAGGATCAACATACTCTACTCAACAGGATCATCATACTCTACTCAACAGGATCAACATACTCTACTCAACAGGATCATCATACTCTACTCAACAGGATCATCATACTCTACTCAACAGGATCATCATACTCTACTCAACAGGATCATCATACTCTACTCAACAGGATCATCATACTCTACTCAACAGGATCATCATACTCTACTCAACAGGATCATCATCAACAGGATCATCATGCTCTACTCAACAGGATCATCATACTCTACTCAACAGGATCATCATACTCTACTCAATCAGGATCTCTGCTCATCATCATACTCTACTCAACAGGATCATCATACTCTACTCAACAGGATCATCATACTCTACTCAACAGGATCATCATACTCTACTCAACAGGATCATCATACTCTACTCAACAGGATCATCATACTCTACTCAACAGGATCATCATACTCTACTCAACAGGATCATCATACTCTACTCAACAGGATCATCATACTCTACTCAACAGGATCATCATACTCTACTCAACAGGATCATCATACTCTACTCAACAGGATCATCATACTCTACTCAACAGGATCATCATACTCTACTCAACAGGATCATCATACTCTACTCAACAGGATCATCATACTCTACTCAACAGGATCATCATACTCTACTCAACAGGATCATCATACTCTACTCAACAGGATCATCATACTCTACTCAACAGGATCATCATACTCTACTCAACAGGATCATCATACTCTACTCAACAGGATCATCATACTCTACTCAACAGGATCATCATACTCTACTCAACAGGATCATCATACTCTACTCAACAGGATCATCATACTCTACTCAACAGGATCATCATACTCTACTCAACAGGATCATCATACTCTACTCAACAGGATCATCATACTCTACTCAACAGGATCATCATACTCTACTCAACAGGATCATCATACTCTACTCAATAGGATCATCATAATCATACTCTACTCAACAGGATCATCATACTCT